CAGCAGCTGAGGAGCTCGGGCTCCTGGGTTCCTTCCCAGGTCCACTGCAGGTGGTTGCTCTGTGCCTCAGTTTCCTTTCTGGGGGAGGGGCAGGCCATGGCTGGCCCCCAGGGCTGCATTCAGGTGGGTGGCTCAGTGTCCATGGGGCTGGGGGTGCCAGGGGAGCAGGGTCCTCAGCTTCACATCCCCACCCCAATTTCATTCCCCTCCCTGCTGCTCACCTCCATTACAGCCAGCTCTGGGGTAGGCATGGGGCAAGGTTTGTCACGGGGGGCTGTGGTGAGCAGTGGCCAGAGCTCCCCGCAGGTGGGACGGGCAGGGGGCGTGGGGCTGTCTGTCCTGGGGAGGCCGGGCAGGGCGGGCCTTTGCTGACGATGCTGCTTCCTCCCTGGCAGACTGCTCCCGGCCCAGCCTGGCTCGAGCGCCCTTCCTGCCACCCGGCGCTGCCATGAACATGCCACAGTCCTTCGGCTCTGCGTCCAGCTTGGTGCCGGGTGATGGCCTGCCCCCCGCAACTGCCAACGGCACCCAGCGCCGCAGCCCCGGCCCCGGCCCCGGCCCCGGCCCCGGCCCCGACGCTGAGCGGTGCTGGCCCATCCGGCCGACGCTGCGCAATGAACTGGACACCTTTTCGGTGCACTTCTACATCTTCTTTGGGCCCAATGTATCGGTGCCACCCGAGCGCCCTGCTGTTTTTGTCATCAACCTCCTGCCCGTGCTTGACAGCGGTGGTGTCCTCAACCTCGAGCTCAAGCTCAACGTGGTGTGTGGGTGCAGGGCACCTGGCACAGCCAGGGTGGGATAGCTGGCGGCTGCGGGTTGGGAGTGAGGGGTACCGGCGTGGCTGGGGTGGAGCAGCAGGAGGTTGTGGGTCGGAAGTGAGGAGCACCATCACCGCGGGGGCACTGGGGTGGGGTAGCAGAGGGGCTGCAGGTCAGAAGGCGGGGGCACCAGTAGGACCATGGGATACAGGGTTGTGGGGCTGGGGGGCAGGGGCATGGCTGGGCGGCGCTGGGTGTGGGGTAGCAAGACAGGATCTGTGGGTTGGGGTGGGGTAGTGGGCACTGGGGCTGGATCCCCAGCTCCGTGACTTGCCCCCCGGCCCCTCTCCAGTCCTCCCTGTGGGGTGAGAACGTGACGGTCTTTGGGTGCCTGAACCACGAGGTGCCACTGACGTCGGGGGACAACAGCTCCGTCACCTGTGAGACAGGTAGGGGTGGGCCCACGGCTCCCAGCGTGGGGCGCTGGGACTTGGCAGGGGGGCAGAGCTCTCTCTAGTGGGGGGGGTGCTGGGGGGCGGTCATCCAGGTGCCAGGGCCTGTTTGCACCGGCTGGAGCAGGGGGGGTGTCCAGGGTCCCGTTCCGCTCAGCACAGCCTCCACTTTCCCCCCCTGTCCCTGCAGAGTCCCTGGCTGGGTTCCTGCTGTCCGTCAATGCCACCACCAACCTGAGCCGCCTGCGCATCCCCTACCCCCAGACCGGGAGCTGGTACCTCAGCCTGCGCTCACTCTGTACCACCGACCGTGGGTAAGTGTCCACCATGGCCCTGCGTTGGGGTGCCCAATGTGGGGGAGATGGGGGGATCCGTGGCTTGGCCCTTGGGGTGGTTCAGGCATCCTGTGAGAGCACAGCAGGAGGGGCAAGGAGCTTGCATGGGCTGGGGCCTAGCAGGGCAGGTGATGGATGGGTGATCTCAGCACGGCCAAGGTGGGGGAGATGCAGGGGCTGGGCCTAGGGAGGCGAGCCACGGGTCCACCCTGAGCCTACGGGCACATGTATGTGCAAGCCTGCATGCCCGTGTCTCCACACTGGGGCCCGTGCTTATGCCTGTCCCCGTAGGCTTGAGTCATGTGCCAATGCAACGGCAGAGGTATATCTGCGCACCTACCTCTCGCCCTGCATCAATGACTGTGGCACCTATGGCCAGTGCAAGCTGCTGCGCACCAACAACTACCTGTATGCCGCCTGCGAGTGCAAAGCAGGTGAGACTGTGCCCCCTGCCCCATGCAGCACCAGGGACCCTGCTCATCTGGGCCCACCTGCTGCCCTGTAGCCTGGACAAGGGGCCACCCCCTTGCTGGCCCTGGGGAGGGGGACTATCTTAGCCCATGCCCTGAGCCCCCAGGCCTGGCCCTGCTCAGCTGATGGGGTTGTCGCCTGCAGGCTGGAATGGCTGGGGCTGCACGGACAACGCGGAGGCCTTCTCTTACGGCTTCCAGCTGCTCTCCACACTGCTGCTCTGCCTTAGCAACCTCATGTTCGTGCCTCCCGTGGCCATTGCCCTGCGCAGCCACTACCTCCTGGAAGCCTCCGTCTACATCTTCACCATGTTTTTCTCCACCGTGAGTCCCTGGGTGGGATGGGTCGAGGGGCAGGCTGGGGCAGTCCCCTCCCTTGGGTAGATCTAGGAGTTTGAAATGGTGGGGTGCAGATGGCGTGGGGTGCCAGCTCATATGACACAGCATCAAGTTTCCTTCAGTTAAAAGTAAATGAGAAGCATCACCAATGCACCCAGGGCCTCAGGCTGGGTTGCGCTGTGCAAGATGAGAGCAAAACCAGATAGAACTTCATTGCAGTGGGTTCAAGGCAGTCTGCAGGGCTCAGAGAGCAGCCTGGCAGAACAAGAAGCAGCCTGATGGAGGCACATCCAGGCCATTAGAAAGGAGAGAGGGGCAACAGCACTGTCCCAGCTGCCTGTGGAGGGTTCGGGATTGCAAGTATGGTTGGGGGTAGAAAGGTAAGAAAGGTTTATTGACTTAACAAAAACTCAACTACGCGCAGTAACAAGACAAACAATGACAGACAAAAACAATTTGTGTCGGCAACATATCAGCAGTCCCCTCTGATGCCTGAT